AGATTTAGTTCCTCAATCTTACAAATGATGGAGTTTTCAGCTCTTGTCCCATTACTTGCAAAGAACTGAAAGTCCCAGAGGACCGTTCCCTCATCTTCAAGCGATGGCTGGTGGTGAGTTTAACCTGAGGGTCACTATGCCTCAGGTGAGAGGCAAAGTTGAGAAGTCAGGGCTTTTATGGTCACATGAAAACCTCCATGTTTGCTCCCTCAGGCAGTGTGGGAATTGAGCCTGCACTAGTGCATGATCACTGCATCCAAACCAGCCATCCAGCAACTGGGCTTATCAATGTACTTTACAAAGTAAGACACTGCTATTCGAAGCAATGTGGAAGCCACACATTTTCAAAGACAATTTAAGAATTGCATGCAGAACGTCCAATGACTACGTACGAACGATTACAGATATAAGAACTGTAACAGAGTGTTAATGTATACAGGATAGTGACTTACTGACTTGTAATTTGGCCTCAGATGCCAGTCACTATTAATTATTGTTTGTATTTATCAGAAATAGTTTACCAATACGCGGGAGGGGGAGGGAGGTTCACATAGTTCATTCGTGATTAGTCATTCAGTTCTATTCTCAAAGCTTGCTATTGTGATTACTCTAAAGTCGCATCCAGTGAAGTACAGACTTCAGCAATCAGGCCTAATGTGTAGATAATAAGCACACTAAAGTGTTTACATAGAGAAGTATGTCTCCTGCACCCCCTGGTACTTTGACCCAGAGAGAATACAGTTTTAAGCTGTTCCTGTAGCATGTCAAAAAACTATGATCACTTCAAAATACAAACACAAGCATGTTTAGTTTTTTTGTGTATGTATTTGATTTTTCTGTCTTTATCTATTCCCTCTAGGAGAGTAATTGTATTATGCTGGGGTTCTGCTCCACAATTCCTATATCTACACAGCAATTAGCCCTGGCTGGCAGCCCTGTCAGTGAAGAATCCAGGCTTCATCCTGAGTTGAAGTTCTCACACACATGTCCTTCTTGCAAGAACTAGTTTTGTATCCCTAATTTGTGGGACAACAAGTCAAGTGAGTGCACCTTCCTTCCTGCTAATGTCTTGAGTAATAAATGAGTTTACAACCACCCAGGCCAGAATTCCCTCTCCAATCCATTCAGGACGGAGCATTCCACATGATCAGCAATCCATCCACTGGCTGAAAAATTGGTCTGTCCCCACTGACAGTGCAGTATTGCTGCAGTATGCATTATCTAGAAGATGCACTAAAGCAAATCACCATGACTTCATGTTTCAAATGCACAACTTTGATCAAGGGTAATGGGTGTATAGGAACATTTCTACCTCCAAGGGCCCCTTCAAGTCACAAGCCATCCTGACTAGTACTTTTTGATCATCATTCATTCACCATCATTGGATCAATATCCTGAAGCTCCGCTACCTAAAAAGCAAAGTTAGATTCACATTTATCACATGCTGCAACAGTACAGAAAGGCAGGCCACCATCACAACCTCAAGAGGAACCAGGAATGAGCAGAAAATGCCAGCTACACTTGCATTCTGAAAATTTTAAGCAAAGCCCTTTGCCTCTCAGCTGTCATTCTTTTTTAAATGCCCACAAAAGAAATATTTGTTTGGCCTACTGTCCAATTTTGTGACGATGCTTCCGTGAGGTCTGTCTACATTGAAGGCTCTGATTAATGTTGCTAAAGGTCTTGTGGTGTAATAGAAACCAAGCAGAGGCTCGGAGACTGCTTTGTGAAGCACCTACACTCAGTTCGTGACAAATTATTAGCCTCATCTTCCCTCCCACCTACCCGCCCCTCCCTCCTCACTAACCAACCCCCATCCCTACTCCCTACCTACAGTCACCTTTACTAGCTTCATCCCCGCCTCCTTGACCTGTCTGTCTTCTCTCCACCCATCTGCTCCTCAATCCAACTTCTATCACTGCCTCCCCCTCTTTCTATTTATTTCAGAGCCCCCTTCCCCTCCTCCGTTTCTGAAGAAGGGTCCCGACCCGAAATGTCAGCTTTCCTGCTCCTCTGATGCTGCCTGGCCTGCTGTCTTCATCCAGCTCCACACTGTGTTATCTCAGACTCCAGCATTTGCAGTTCCTACTATGTCCTTGTGGTGTAATAGGTTGTGCCACTGCTTGATGGCTAAGGGAAGTGCATTTATAAAATAACCAGACAGTTTGATTATCAACCTTCAAATTAATCAACATATACCAATAGCAGACAGCTAAGAGTGGGAGAAATTTCTGCATAGGCTATGAGATGGAAAGAATATCGCAGCCTCTACCATCACTGTCCATATCTCCAAAACTACAACAGGCATGTAAAGGTACTTTTGATTTGATTTATTGTTGTCCCATGTACCTAAGTACAGTGAAAAACTTTGTTTTGTGAGCAGCACAAGCAGATCATAGCAAACAAGGACAGGCAATCATAGGGTGCTTAGACAGAGCGAGGTGTACAAGGTTACAGTTGCAAAGCGAGATCAACATTATTTGAAGCATATTGCCTCAGTGAACAATAGTGGCTGATGCTGAGCTGCATCAGTTTTATAATTTGCTGACCTATCCAAGGAAGAGAAACAAAATTATTCAGAGTTCACACACTCCATCGAGAACTAATAACCTTTGCTTGAAGATGTACCTGTTTTAACAAAGGAGGAATTTAGCTCAAATTGTGGCACCTATTTTGATGATATAACCTAGTGAGATGGCAAAATGAGTTCTGAGGAACATTCACTGGACCCGAAACTCTTCATAGATGCTGCCAGACCTGCTGAGCTTTTCCAGCAACTTCTGTTTTTGTGGCAATAACGGGAACTCTGGTAAAGAATCATAGGACAGTTGGTACTGTCCTCATAGAAAGAGCTGGCATGTTCAGGAAATGTGAAGTGCAAAGTAAAAACAATGTGTTAGACGCTGTTAAACCATTGGGGTATTTTAATTAGAGCTGGGCCATTCATATAAATCCCATCAGACTGGGTTTAGTGTAATCAGCCAATCACTGTGATAAATTTAACTAGGACATTGCTGACATTTTCATTTGCTGACAGTGTAGATAGAGAAAAGTAACTTTATTTTGTGGTTAGAGGATTAGACAGTAGGTTAGACCAAACTGGAATGAGTTAGTCTGCAAGCTGGAATTTGAGAAGCTGCTAAATGTACTGTTTTATAGCTCAGGTAAAATCCTATTCAAAGCATCTGAAAGCATTCAAAATCCCCACAGTGTGGAGGCACCACTAAAGGTAACCAGACTCAAATGACTGTATAACAATCAGATAAGGTGAAATGAGCTAGTTAATTTGGTGACTACATGGTAATTGAGGAATAGAACACAAAATTGCTTAGATAACAAGGTGTAGAGCTGGAAACACAGCAGGCCAAGCAGCATCAGAGGAGCAGGAAAGCTGACGTTTCGGGCCTAGACCCTTCTTCAGAAATGGGGGAGGGGGTTCTGAAATAAATAGGGAGAGAGCGGGAGGCGGATCCACTATGGTTTTTCCGGAGGGAGGACGGTAACTTCTTCAGGGTAGGCATCCTTAGAAGAGGCTTCGCAGTGGGGTTAAAATTGTTTCAGAGATAGTAGGAACTGCAGATGCTATAAACCTCGCCTCCCCCTCTCTCCCTATTTATTTCAGAACCCCTTGCCCCTCCCCCATTTCTGAAGAAGGGTCTAGGCCCGAAACGTCAGCCTTCCTGCTCCTCTGATGCTGCTTGGCCTGCTGTGTTCATCCAGCTCTACACCTTGTTATCTCAGATTCTCCAGCATCTGCAGTTCCTACTATCTCTGAAACAAAGTTGCTTAGTTTTGTTTTCTGTTATTATCTGATTCTGCATTATTAGGAACCTTTAAATCAGAATGGCAGGAACTTTGACTGAAATATAGAAAGTAGGAGCAGGAGACCATTCGGTCCTTTCAGTTGGCTCTGCCGTTTGTTATGACCATTGCTAATCATCCACCTCAGTACTTTATTCCTGCCTGACCGCTACTGGTGCCTGGCTTTAGGATTTATCACGTTGCCACCCTCAGTGAGCTTGCTGAAATAGTCAATCCTCCTTATTTGAGCCCTGGACTCTTTGACCACGTGGGGCATCACAAAAGAACTTGCTGATCACAAAAATGCCCTGGACAGCGATCAAAGAGAGTTGGCAACCTCACTTTATTTTCACACCTTGAAACCAGGGAAAGTGAAGGCAGTGGCCACACCCAAAACAGGAGATGGAGCTTGATGACCCTGTGCCATGATTTTTGGCTGTTCTGTGGTAACATGGAGAATGCCAGGAAGAGAAGCTGATTGGAGACATCCAAAGGGAGAATTGTGATGCAACTCACTGCATGAGGTCTTTGAACAATGTTCAGTAAATCGTGGAAGGAGGTCAATAATAATGTCCTTCTGGATCACCACATTGGTTCATCAGTAATAGCCTTCTGGCCAGTGTCTTAAGATAACACCAGAGAAATTATTAAATTGAATTGGCCTTATTGTCATATGTACTCAAATGAGTACAGTGAAAAGTTCATAATTTGCCATATACAATTAGTCATCATCCGTTCGAGTTTTACCTATTCTTCGGCCATAAAATTGGATTGTGTTATCTTTCTGTGCTGAAGGCTATTCCGTGAGCTTGCTGAGTCCACAGGCTGAGCTGAGGTCTGGCACTGCTGGGAAGTGGTTCAGACTCTCAACATTGCAGCCTGACCTCTCTCACTCACACGCATACAGATCCCAGGGTCTCCTGGTCAGACAGGATATAACCATCCAGGCAAACACAGCCAACTCATTCAGAGGGTGATCAGCTCCGTCCCGTGCAGAAGCAGTATTTACCAACACTGTGCTGTGTGGGTAAGTAGGTGATTAACTCAACCTTCGGCGAAACGCGGAGCATTTGTCTGACTGTCAGCAATTGTTTTAATTGGATTAGGAAGCTGGTCCAACATTAAATCGGAAACACTGTGAACGCGCTGGGCTTTGTGCAATTTTTAATCGAGTGGCGTTTAGAAAACTCTTTTCAACTCGAGTGCTGGCGAAGGCTGTGATAATATCGTAGGGGCGCTGTGTAACTAATTACTGTACATGGTAATGAGTATGTTCGAGCAGAGTTGGTAAGTGCCCTGTGTCTAAGGTACTCCGGGTGAAATGCCTAACCAGCCCCATTGCTCTCTGTCACCCCAAATTCTCAGCAGACTGGTCTCCTCGCTGAGACCGCAGTGTTGCCTTGTTTCTGACTTTGCAGCCTGATAATTGAAGGGAAATTGCGGTTTCTTCCACAAATGTTTTACTGCTTTCAGGTGTTGTCTGGGGACCAGCGTTGAGAGTTAAAGGTCATCTCATCTCTGATCCGCTTGTTTAAACAATGCAACCCGGGCTAAGTTATCTGCAGAGTCCCTTGCTAACACTGAAGCAGAAAATCTCGTCAGTTGAAATAGTCCTGTCTGGCCAAAGCTTCCTAAAGTGTCTAGTTATTTTAAATTGATGAACATTTTACTTAAAACGTTGATAAGGGGAATGTCCAACAAGAACATGTCAAAAGAGAAAATGTCTTTGTTGGAGTGTGTTTTATAACTGGATATGGTACCTTCTTCAGACCATTTATATCTAAATGAAGTGGGATTGAGTTTGAAGAAAATATTCAGCTATGCAGCCCTCTCCTAACACGAGGACATCACAGAGCTCAGTGATTGATGTGACCTCTGTATGAGCAATGCTGTAGTCAGTTTATGCCCCACAGCAAGGAATGGCCTAATGACCAATTAATCTCTTGTTTTTTTTCACTTCTCTTGACTGGGGAAGAAATATTGACCCGGCCTTTTCAGAGAATTACCCATCTTTTCTTCAACATAGTGCAGTAGGAGCTAGGTACACCTGCCTGAGGGGGCAGGTGGAGTCTCAGTTTAGTGTCTCATCCAAAAGATGCACGTTCAACTTGGATAAAAGTGTTCAAGGAAACCTTGACTTCTGTTAGGGGTTGGGGATGAAAACCAGAACCACCATGTGCCACTCTTATTACAGTGGTGTTTTGATTGGATTCATATTGGTGCATTGTGAGCGTCAAACTGAAAAGAAAATGTTTGCCAAGCACTTCCTTTGTCTGGGAAATAACACCCCTTTGAAATATTTTATATTTTTATTATAGAGTTCCTGCTAAACAACACTACCGAGGATTACTCATAGATGTTTCCAACATGGAATGAGGCCATTTCGCCCATCATGTTTGTGCTGGTCAACAAAGATCTGACTACACTAATCCCATTTTCCAGTTCTTGGCCCATAGCCCTGGAAGTTATGGCAATGCAAGTCAATACCTAAATACTGCTTCAATGCTGTGAGTTTCTGATTCAACCACCCTTTCAAGTCGCAAGTTATAAACACCCACTATCTGCTGGGTGAAAAGATTTCTCTTCGAGTCTCCCCAAGCATTCTACCTCTTACTTTAAACCTGTTCCTCCCATGCTTAGTGACCCCTTTACTAATGGAAAAAGTGCCTTGCTATCTGCCTTATCTATGCCTTTCATAATCTTGTACTCATCTGTCTGGTCTCCTCTCAACTCCAGTTCATCCAATCATTCCCCATAGCTTAGACCCTCCAACCCAGACAGCATCCTACTAAGTCTCCTCTGCACCCTCCCTAGTGCAATCACATCCTTCCCATTATGTGGTGACCAGAACTGCATGCAGTGCTCCAATTGTGGCTTAACCAACACTTTTTATTGTTTTATGATTTATGGTTTTCATAGAAAAATCAATGGAAGCATAATATGCAAACACCATCCGTAATCCTGGCAGATCTTCTATTTATTCTGTTAACCCTAGCATTGATTTTGTTCAATCATTATTGACCAAATTTTACTGACATGGCCTGAAATCACTCTTTGTGAATCCAGCAGGTTTACATTGGAATTGCAATTGGTGTGTGATCTAGTGACTTAAGCACTCCTTTTGACACCAAATGCAAGTAGTTAGTGAATGCCAAATGCCAAGTGCAAAGAGGAGGTGGAGAGTTATCTACATTGAAAAAATATCTTTTGGTTCTTGGTTTTGAACATATAAAACAAACAGGAAGCTCTCCAACCAAATAGACAGGAGACTTATTTCAGTAACTTAGAGACTGTAGGGATTGTAGATGCTGGAAGCTAGAATCAATTAATGTGGAGCTGGTAAATGGGGAGGCAATGGCCTAGTGGTATTATTGTTGGACTGTTAATCCAGAGACCCAGATAACATTCTGGGGACCCAGGTTCAAATCCTGCCACAGCAGATGGTGGAATTTGAATCCAATAAAAATATTTGGAATTAAGAATCTAATGATCACCATGAGCCCGTTGTTGATTGCTGGAAAAACCCCATCTGGTTCACTAATGTCCTTTAGGGAAGGAAACTGCCATCCTTACCTGGTCTGGCCTACATGTGACTCCAGACCCACAGCAATGTGGTTGACTTTTAACTGCCCTCTGGGCAATTAGGGATGGGCAGTAAATGCTGCCTCACCAGTGACGCCCTCATCCTGTGGATGACTAAAGGTAAAGCACAGCAGGTCAGACAGCATCCATAGGATTTTGGCCCAAAACATCGACTTTTCTTTTCCTCTGACCTGCTGTGCTTTTCCAGCTCCACATTTATTGATGCTTATTTCAATATTTCAGCTGGTGCTCTATGTTACTCATAAAAGTTCAAGCATTGCTGAGTGTTGTGTGGAGTGAAATAACTAGTGATCCTGAAAGGGGAACTGTTCAAAGTGGCATGATCATGTTTTATAAGTGGTTCTCGCAGGAGGAATGTGAATGCTGCTCTTTCTGTGTTCTTCCAGTCTGCCTAAGAATTGCACTCCCCACCCGCACTCATCTCCTGATCAAACAAGTTTTACAAAACATTCACAGCTACCCAATTTTCACCCGAACCAGAATTCAACGCCCTGACTACACCGCCTCCCCTCCAAACCAACCCACCCAGTTTAGCAATGTGAAGATATTGCACAGAAAATATTCATGCCTCACCTAGGATCATAGCAAAAAAAACCTTTCTCCTTTAACACAAGTTATATCTACAGGACAGTTCCCCAAATCACTGTGTCGAATCCAGGTCAGAGCTTGGATTGACCATGTTTTCTAGGGTTTACAGTTTCCTGTCTTTCTTTCTTTATTCATTAAGGGGATGAATGCGTCACTGACCAGGCAGCATTTATTGCCCATCCCTAATTGCCCAGAGGGCAGTTAAGAGTCAACCACATTGTTGTGGGTCTGGAGTCACATGTAGGCCAGACCGGATAAGGATGGCGGTTTCCTTCCCTAAAGGACTTTAGTATGTTGGGCTTAGGGATCTATCATGTACATTATCGTTTCACAAGTTTGCGACGCATCCATCACTCTAAATTTTTAAATATACTTTTGAGCAAAACTGGTTTGCCTGCTCAGTTTTCCTTGTTCTAAGGGCAAAAGTCAAAAGCAATGTGCAAGCAGTTAATGATACAGCCTCGAACAGGTCGTTGTCAGCAGTACAAGCAGTTAAGTGCTGGAAGATGTCAACAATGGTCAGTAGGATGTGGAATTGAAGAAACAACAATTTATTTGTGGCAAGGTTTCTTCAATGCATTCTTTACTAGAAAATTGCCAAAGTGCTATTTATAAAAGGATGTACAGTATTGTCATTTATAAAGTATGAAGAGGAAATCCAGCATTTAGAACTCAGACTGCATGAGGGGAACTTTTTTAAAAAAAAAAATACAAAAGATAGACAAATAGCTGTACTGCATGCAGAGATTAGAAAGTTTATGGTAGAAGTCAGCTAGATCAGAAAATATTATTTAGATAATTCCACCACTGTCCACAGAGATCAGGTGAGATTGTCATGATGGTTCAGTCAGGTGATAGAGTAAACAGGAAGAATGGGGGTCATAGATTTAAGGGAAGGGGCAGGAGACAAACAAGCAATTCTGTGGATTTTTTTCACCCAGAAGTTGGGGAACCATCTGGAACATGACTACCTGAAAGAATGTTGGAAAGGGTACCCTAACAACATTTAAGAACTATTTAGATAAACACTTAAAACACCATAGCAAACAAGGTTACAGGCCAAGTGCTGGAAAAAGGGATTAGAATAGATAGGTGCTTGATGACTGGCACAGAATTGATTGATCAAAGGGCCTCTTTCTTTGTAAAGCAGAGATTTTCAGGTCAGATCGATTGAGGTACATTAAGACCATGGAGTCTAGCAGCAATGTAGGCCAAGAGAGAGATTTGTTTGTGAGAAGTCTGGTTGCTAGATAATTGGGCTTGGCAATGCAGAACTGGAAGAGAACGTTCACAATGTCATCTCTAGAGGTGACAGACATGAAGCTAAAGGCCTAGTTGTAGCAATGAAAAGTCAGATCACAGTCAGGCAATAATTCAGAGATGGAGAAAAAAAAATTTTGATTTTGCGGGGAGGACATCAACGCCTGAAGTATTTAGGCTGAAGAAGTTGCCAGATGGAATGATCCAGTCCAGTGACATTCTGTTGCTAACACAGTGAAAGCTCAAATATTTATGAGCCTTATGAGTTGGGTCAGGGGTTTGAGAAGATCATTAGCAGGCTCTTTCCTCTTGGTACCTGATGTCCATAAGGTACACTTGCACAAGGGTCATGAGCTAATGATCATTGGCAGGAATTGAGCTAGATTTCTTTTTGGCTAGGTCATATAAATAGCTGCTATTCATAGTGACATAAACATAAATAGTACCATGCAAGTAAACATCAGAACAAACACATACTGTAAATGAGAATAAGCCTGGCACATATTGTACTAATACCATAATAAACACAGTAATATTTATTATAATGCAAGTACATTGGGGGTTGTGCTTAGATTAAAAACAACACAATGTGTCAGTACAATATTTCTCAATGATAATGGAATCCAATATATGAGTGTAAAAGACAAGGCTGAAGTCTTCACAACAAACTTCAGTCAGACTGTGAGTGGATAATCACAATAGCTATTCCATCATCAGGCCAGACATTGAGACTGTTTGCTTATGACTGCACAGCGTGCTGTTCCATTCACCATTTCTCAGTCAACTAAGCTGTCTAACCTTGCATGCAGCACGACCTGCTTGGGCTAATAAGTAGT